GGCGGTGTCTTTCAGGCAAACAACTGCTGTTTGTTGCCGTGAGTGCATCCCCACACCAGCTCCGTATCACGCCTCCCCTCCTCTCCTCTCGTCCAAATTCCCATCAGGCAGCAAAGGCAGAAGGGTTTGTCAGGTGGAGAAGCGCTTTTGGCAGCACTGCGGCTGCGTAGAGCGGGCGTCGGGCAGGGAGGTGTGCGGGGGGAGAGCAGCGTGCCTCCTTCCAGCCCGTGCCAATGCCGCGGCAGTCGGCGGCAGAGCTGTGTTACCTCCGGAGGCGTTTCAGACCCCGTCTTTCCTTTTTTTTCCCCAGTGTGCTGGCAGGCGAGGAGTTGTTGGAGCACCTCCCCAGCTCCTCTGAGCAGCCCTCTGTCCTGCAACACAACACATGCCTTGCAGTTTTTCCGCATCTCAGTTTTTCCTGATTGACATCGTTATAAATCAGAGCAGAGGCTGTCCCCAGCGGTGACAATGTAGTTATTCAGCTTTTAAGATTAGCATTTAATCCAACACGTTTTTTGTTTCAATATTAATTTGGCTGAGCAGGACCTTTTCCGAGGTATCCAAGCTCCTTAGCTGTGTGAGTACTGTACCCAGGTTGGTCGAGGGAGAGCCTTGGGAAGGCATCCCAGCACCCAGGGGCGCAGATCACAGCCTGCCGGGACGCCTGGGCTCAGAAGTGCCCAGCTCCGCGAGGAGGGGGTGCTGGGCCCAATGGGTGCCCAAATGGCAGCAGATACCTGTGCTGGGTGGTGAGGACTGGGTCCTCCAAGGGACCGAAGCACCACACTCTGCAGCATCCTGAGGAGCGTGTAGGGGTCGGTCACCCAAACGTCCCTGACGGCAGGGGCTGGAGGCAAAAACACGATCCTGGGACCACCTGCCAAACTTGGGTCTTTCGGTGGGTGACAAGGGGGTGATAGGCAGAAGAGTGTTTTTGTATGAATATAGGTGTCGTGAACTGAAAAAACAGTGTCTGATGCCCCCTGCAATTGCGTTCTTAATGCTAAGTAGTCATTTCTCTTCAACTACGTACAGGATCATACGGACGAAGGTGCAGCAGCCACCCAATCAGCAGGTCCCAGCCTCCAGTCACAGCATAGGTAAGGAAAACTTTTTTTTTTTTAAATATTTTTAAAAAAAAAACATAATGGATTACAAATATTCTAAAGAACTTTTAATCATTCTTATGGACAGATAATTCTGCATAAAACACTTCAGCACACGTGCTAATGCGCCTTCTTTGTCATTCTCCAAGGGCTGAACATAGTAAATGAATTTTATAAATACTGCTAAAAGGTTTTGAATTTTACTGATTATTATGATAAATAGCTTTCACCATGAGACAGAAAATTGAAATCTAAACCAAAAAACCCCCACTAATGGGGGTCTATAGAATGTCAGATAATTAAAGTAATAAATCAAGAAAGGGATACTTATTCATAACATTTTCTGCATCATTAGTCAGTAAGTAGTTTTGAATGTGGTTTTTTTCATCTATCAACCGTCCCTTCCATAATTCTTTGTGCACTTGCAGTCTTGAGTGAAGAGGTAGCGAAACTTTCCGAAACTTTAATTCAGCCGCGGACCAGTGGTGCTGCGCCCCGGCGCAGGCCGTGTCCCTGCAGGGGCGTCCCCCCTGGTCGGGAAAAAAGTCCCCTGATTTCCCACGGTGGCTTAAGGGCTGTGTCTTCTTGAGGAAAACAAGAGAGAAGAGAAGCGAAATCCTGTTTCCCAGGGCTTGGTGTTGAAAGAGGCGGCGGGGGGTTCCCAACGCCCGTTTGCTCCATGTGGGCTGTCCCTGGGGGTCTTCGGTGCGGTCCTGCAGAGGACCCCCCAGTGCTGTGGGGCTGCACGGTGCTGTGTGGGCTGCAGGGACGTGCCAGCGCCGGCTCAGCCTTCGAGTGGATGGAGGTGATGGTGGTGCTGCTTCCTCCGCCTGCTTCCCTGCGGCCCCGGACTCCCGCAGCATCACGCAGGCGCCGTGTCTGCAGCCCCCGACGGCATCTCCGGGCTCCTGTTGGCTGGCCTGGGGGGCCCCCCCGTGGGCG